GGGATTTGTTCTAATAGTGTTTGTAAATAGGATATCATGTCCGCATCTTGTACAGCAAATAACCACTAGGAAGAATGTATGCAATGTGTTAATTATTGAAACTATCCTACCAGTTTGGTTTGAAACTGTCTCATTGTTATTTGTTTCTCAATAAAATTATGAAAAAAAATAATAAAAACTGAGCATAGTGGCACATACCTAGAATGACAGCTCTGGGAAGCCAACACAGGAGGATCAGAGGTTTGAGCCCAGCCTGGGCCACTTTGTGACTTACCTAGTTTTTATATGAAAATGTTAAAATATTTTTTAGCCAGGTGTAGTGGTACATGTCTGCAATCCCAGTACTTGATAGATAGAGGCAGGGAGATTGGAGTTGGAGGCCAGCCTGGGCTACATAGTGAGTTCAAAGGCAATCTAAACTACTTGGTGAGACCCTACCTCAAAAACCCAAACAAATAAAAATTAAAAAAATTAAAAAATTAAAGGCAAGATGTAGCTTAGTGTGAAGGGTCCTAGGCTGAACTCCCAGTACCACCAAGAGAAGTCAGAAGAAGAGGGAAGGGAAGAAAGGGGAGAAGAGAGGAGGAGGGAAAGGTGAGGTGAGGCCCACAGCACAGTGAAGATTGCGGCTTGGTTCTCCTGGTTATGACTGGACAGGAGGATGGGGAAGTGGGAACCCCATCATCCCAGAGGGGATGCACCTGGAGGGACCCAGATGGGTCACCCAGCAGCCCAAGCACAAGAGTGAGTGTGTGCAAGCCAGCCTGCCCTGTCAGTGACTGGCAGAAGCACCCTGTCCCACTGGTGTCAGAACCACTGGGGACCCCGTGTGATTCCTGCTTGGAGAAGGGTCCAGCTTCAGGCCAGGCTCAGGCTGGGGCTCAAGATGACCTTGGAATCCTGCTGGGCAGGAGGCACCCAGGATGAGAGCCTGTGCTTACCTGCTGCTGTCCCAGGGCACTGGGCTATGAGCACAGGATGCAAGTGCTCCACCAGGTGGTGGGTGCTCCATGGATCTCGCTCCAGGGCTGCCTGGCCGGGCTGCACCTCCACAACTAGATCTCTGCATCCAGACTGGGAGCAGACATCACTGATGAGCCCTGAGGTCCCTGTGGAAGGGTTGGCCCCATGCAGGAAGCTCAGTACTTCCCTGTCTCCTCAGGAGCTGCTGTTGAGAGCACAGAGGGTTCAGCAGTGCTGGGGTGCAGCTCTGTCTCTGTCTGGGGGATCCCTGGGGTCTGTGAAGCAGGAGGCTGAAGCATCCACAGCCCTGGGCGGCACGTTTCCAAGGAGCTGCTGGTGATGTGAGGGACATTCCCAGTGTTACCTTCATTTTGTTTTTAGTGTATGTTTGAAATACCTAACTGTAATCTTCTCGGTGAATTCGGATGAAGTAAACAACTGTTTCTTGGCCACAATAGGCTGTCATCAAAATTCCATCCATGGCTATTTTATTTTTTAAAATTTTTATTTATTTATTTGGCAAAGGGTCTCACTACAAAGCTTGGACTCATAGTGATCCTGTCTCAGCCTCCCAAGAGCTGGGATTATAGGCATGTACCACCATGCCCGGTTGCCCGTTTCAGAGGCCAGCACAGCATGTCCAGGATTCCAGGGCCAGCATAGCCTGTGGTACTGGAGATTGAACCCCAGTCCTTGCGCTTGCCAGGCACATGGTAGAGTGTTGAACTATCTCCCCAGCCCCAACCATGGCTGTTTTAAATCTTTTGGTTTCCATCCACAGCTTTGAGTATTTGCAGTCAGATGGAAGAGTCTCGAACAGAGCTCTTGGGTATAGCTGTCTGATGAAACTCAGCTTGCTTTACAAATTTAGTTTCCTTTATCTTGGTAACACTGGAATGGTTAAAAGTCATGTTCCTCAGTTACAGGACAGTTTGTTTTACTCTTGGTTTTATTGTATATTTCCCTTTTATTTTATTTATTTATTTTTTGAAACAGGGTCCTGCTGTGTGTTTCAGGCTAGCCCTGAACTCACCATTTAGCCCAGGCTCACCCTGAACTTGCAGCGATCCTCCTGCCTCAGTTTTCTGAATAGTTTCCTTTTAAGACTATGCTGGTGCATCTCGGAATGCTGCAGCAATGGCACCCTTAGAAAATGATGCAACTAGGATTTCGGACAGCGCCCCTCTCCTGAGGGGCAGGTAAGATTCAACTGAGTGGGCTCCAGCCAAGGTCACCCCGAGGGCCGCTCCTCCTACAGCTCCTGGTTGCGGGACAATGGCACCCCCGCCACAGGATGGCTATGGGCGGTGTCTTCAAGGAGACTGTGCAGAGGTCAAGACTGGCGCAGATAGCACTGAAGCTGTGGGAAGCAGCGTGGTGTCGCCCGTGAGCAGGGCTGCGGGGTAGGAAGGGCGCTCTGACAGCGCTTGACGGCAGCCTGCATGGCGGACGGCCTAAATCATGTGTCCTGAGTGATTCAGAGCCCGACCTGATGTAATTGCTACAAAAATTCCAAATCTTATATTGTCTGTACATTTGCTGTGCGCTGGCTCTCGGTTTCTCTTGTTTTATTCCTTGCAAGCACTTTCCCTATTATCTCGCCCCAAGGGCTGGAGAGGTAGTTGATGCCTAATATCTCGCCCTGGTGGTACTTGGCTGTACCGTATTTTTAATGCATAACTTGTAAACACAGGTTGTCCTTTCAGTTCCCCATTTTTTACCCTATGGAGGCCTCAGGTAAGCGTAGATCCGCAGATCCGATACCCAAACACCTGTGGGCTTGAATCTGCACCACTGCACCCACCAGGGCAGCTGGGCACTTTGTGTCAGGGCCGTCTGGATTTCCCTCGAGGGGGCTGGAGATGTGGATTTAGAGTCACCCCGCACGATAAAGGATGCCTGTAAAAGCCAACAACAAAAACAAAAACAACAGGAGGAAAAAAAACCCTATAAAAATACCCAAGAGCATGGTTGGGCCACAAAGCATCCCAACAGCACCACCTAGCGTCACATACATGAAACCATACCTGTGAGGCTGCCCTGGGCTCAGGGCTGGGGACTGGGATTGCTGGGCTGGACTTTAGTAACTGAAACCAAAACCCAAGTCTGCCCTGGCCAGTATTGCTTTCTGTTTCTCCAGTAATTGGTGCTTCTGCCACAAACGAGGGTTTAAATTGGTGTGTGTGTGCGTGTGTGTGTGTGTTTCTTATGTGGGTACTGTCAAGCAAAGTGTAAGGCAGGCGGGCTGGTGCATTCCTGAAATCTCAGCACTCTGGGAGGCTGAAGCAGGAGCATTACAAGTTAAGGCTTAGCCTTGGCAGCTCAGTGAGACCTGGTATCAAAATAAAAAATCCCAAAGGCTGAGGCTGGAGCTGAGCAAGAAGGCCTTGGGTATGCTCACGGAAGAAGGGAAGAACTCAGGGCTGCTGCTGCAGCTGGACCGCATCTCCTGGGCGGCCGTGTCTCATTCCTTGAGTGTTGCGCGCATCCAGACACTGCCCTCTACAGAGGATGAGGGCCTGGCTGGGTCCTCACCACACGCCAGGCTCTGGATGGAGGTGGGCGAGTTTGGGGTAAGAGAGAGCTTGGAGGGGACAGAGCTGGCTGCAAGCCCAGCATGCACACTTCTAGCTCTGCTCTTCCCAGCAGAGGTCTCTGAGCTGGTCTCCTTGGTAATGAAAAACATCATCTGTACGGGCTCCTGGGACTACAGGCAGCCAGCCCCTTCCAGCCCTGTCCTTTCGTCCTCAAGACAGAGCTGGACTGTCCCACCTAGTCCTTCAGACCAGCTGACTGTGCCTTTTCAACATAATTTAAAATACATATTTAGATACAAGGTCTTACTCATGGGGCTTGAAGTTGGGGACCTTCCTGCCTCAGCCTTCCAGAGTGCTGGGATTACAGACATGCACTACCACACCCAGCTTTTCAGTTCTGTGTCTACAGGTGGTTCTCTCTGTGCAGTTTCTAGTCTCTAAAGGTCTTTATTCTTTTTGTTCTGTATCTCAATCATCCGGCCAGAGCCCTTCTCCACATAGCTTTGTCTCATGTCTCCCTCCACCTACTTGGTTGCTGTGGAACTAAGAGCCCAGGATTGTCACCGGGAACAGCTTCTAAGGTGCCATTCTAGACAGGTTTCAAAAACATTCCAAGCCCAACAAGTTGTAGGTATTATTTATTCAAATAATTCAACATGGTTTATTTCTTTTTCAATGATATACATCTGAAATCAGTGGAACATACAAGTATAAAAATAGGTTTATTTTAGAAAACTCCAGTTCTGAAGGGCACGATTGTTGAGGTGTATGTCCATGGCTACAGAGTCGCTTCTAAGATGAAGTGGACCCCTCTGTACCCTGTCTCTCATTCTGATAATAACTTGAATTAAAGTCGCTTCAGGGTCCTGGAAATAGAGCAGACTTCTCAAAGGGAAACAGAAAATAATTTTAAGCTTTCTCAGAAATACAAGTTACACTTAAGGATCACATGGTAAAGGATGCAAACCCAAGATATACACAAAATGCATTTTGCAAAGCAGTGCTTTTGGCATCTTTGAAGAATCCAGTGCCTGTCTCAGAGCTTTTCCACCAGAACCAGGACCTCATCCACCACTTTAAGGAAAGATGGGCAGCTCTGTTCAAGGTCTGGATGCAAGCATTTAAACTTCCGTAATATTTAACAGTGCAACTTAAAAGAAACAGTAGGAAATTAAACATTTTAGGTAACAGCAAGTCAGCATTTGATTTGCAAACCCTCTGCAGTCAGCCTTGCACGGAGTCGATGCTACGAGGCACCACACCCACAATCCAGAAAATAGAACACTCCAGATCCTAATCTTACATCTGTACCAACAAAAACCATGAAAAAGAATTGCTCACAAATTTTATTTTGTGTGATTTTTACATAGATTAATAGATCCTTACTTCTTCACACGCACCCCCCCCCACTCCCACACATTTAGCCCACTGTTCTGGGCACTTGCTTCAGCAGCTCTGGTGTCCTCTTCCCTGAGTGTCTTTTTAAGAGGTGTGATCAAAAATACGGTAAATGCTGCTGCCAAGTTCCGTCCAGCGGAAAGGAACGGAGGTGTGTGAAAACAGGACACTGTGCCCTCAGTCGCCTCACTCCTAATATCTGGCACTGTGTGACTTCTGCCTGTTCTCCAAAGCTGACATGACCTTGAAAGGGAAATATTTTGCATCAATTCAGGACACTGAGGCAGCTGTGATAATGCAACTAGACACCCAGGAGAGAGGATGCCAGAGCTGCTGCAGGACGGGGCCAGGACAATGAGTGTGGAGTGGGGAGCATCTGGAGGAGAGGGGTGGCAACACGCCTTGTACTGCCACAAATGTGAAGACTTTTTGGCACTCACCGTACTTTCTGATTGCACTGCTGTGGCCCAGGTGCTGGGCGTGGGCACCATGTGAGGTAGACTACTTTTCCTGGTTGTTATTCAAATGATGCTCCACTGTACAGGAAGGAAGTCTCCCTATTCTGCTGCTGTGGTTCCCAGAGACGAGGTCTGCATCTGTCACTGTGGGCCAGGTCAGAACTCATCAGAAAGCCCTGTGGTGTCTCCTGCGTCCTTATGAGTAAAGGCTCTGTACGAACCACAGAGCAGCACATTCTGGAAGACCTGGGGTCCAGATGTCACATCTGATCACCAGAGATCCCAGGGAAGCTGGCCAGAGGGGAGATGTGGCCGTCTACTGGGGTCATGGTGACCTCTCAGCACACTGAGGAGCCAGGTCTCTGGACGACCCACTCTGGGAGACACACATCATTACCAGTCTCAGCTTTGGTGTGTGTCCCCCCTCCCAGACTGTGGCACAGGCCTTTACCACCACTGTAAGCCTCGCCCACACACACCTGCCCAGGGCGCTGGCCCAATCCAAGAGCTCACTGTAGCACATTCCTGCACTCCATCTGCGCTGACCCTGGGCAAGACTGGGGTGTGTGCACAGGTCTCCTGGACCTGGTCAGGGTGCCAAGGCACAGGGCCAACCTGAGAGGAAAATGTAAAGGCTGACAGGAGGGACTATCCCCTTCCTGGATGCTTAGACCCCAAAGGGAACTGGGTGACACCCCTGGGCCACCATTTTCTACCCTATGAACTTCTCAGGCTGCAGCCTAGAGCCCACATCCAGGCCTGTGTCCTACTTCAGGAGTCCAGCAACTCGAGATTTATGACAACAGCCACACTCTAAATACACTGTGACGCGAGCTTCCCTTCACCTCACATTTTCTCTTTGATCAATGGTCTGTTGGGAAAATCCCTAAAAAATAGACTGGCAAACACTTGCATAGAGACGTGTCCACAGAGTCCTGGGGTGTCAGGGTGTCCACTGTGGTGATGATTGCAGGCTGAGGGGAGCAAGCTCTTTTCTGGCTCCTGTCTGCCCCTTCCCCAGACCCTGGGTTTTACCAAGTTCCCATGATCCTTCACTCTCTGGAAGGAACTGGCCCTCGTTGGCTTGGGCAGTCACCCTGTGCCGTCAGTGCTGTCCGTGCATGACTCCAGCTTGTGTACTCTTGGTTGGAGGCTTGTGGCTCTGTGAAGCCACTCGGATCTCCACCAGACTCTGCAACCTTAGGGGCAAGAAAAAAATCTGTGCATGCTTGGAATGAAAGTGTTTTCCAAGAGCCAGTCCTGCTTATTTCGCTAGCATACTTTTTACTGCATTTTTATTTTCCTCCCCTCAACTCTCAAAATGTATTTTTCTGGGTTGATATTTAACTTGTAAACTGCTACAAGTCCAAAAGAGATGTATAAAATAATTTCTGTGATGTACAGTTTTCCTGGCACTAAGAACATAGTACGTTTCTTGGCAAACCCCACAGTTTTACATTTTATGGTATGTTTTTCCCTTAAAAAGTATTCTAGTGGCAGGGTTGCCTCTGAGTGGTTCTCTAATCAATTCTAATAAGTTTGTGCAAGAGAAAACACATAGGATTCCACTAATAAGGATAAAGTCTTCAGAACTCAATTATTCTTGGCGAGTGCTGGGCAGAGATTTATTCCCAGGGACATGGGGTGGCAAGAAGCCAGAACTCAGGACGGAGCATGTGTGCCTGCTCTACCGAGTGGGGAAGGAGAAAGAGGAATTTCATAAATCCCCTTTTTAAATTAAGGACTAAGATAATCCCTCTTCATCGCTTACACAAGAGAATGGAAGCCCAAATCACAACTGCCTTTCAAAATCTATCACCCCACGCTCTGTAGAGAGCTTAACGCCATCTTGCTGTGAATGCCTTGTACAATTCTGACCAGCTGCGGATCCCAACTTCATCTCCAGCTGAAACTTCTGGGCTTTAGGATGGATCAGGCAAAGTCTTTCCCAATTCAGGGGCAGGATGGCCCAGAACAGTCCCCATGTCACCTGCAGGGCATCTGCTTCCCTTACGCTGAGAGCTCTGGTGCCCGTCATACGTGCTTCTTTTAAACCGCATGAGAGAAAAACAACGGGATTGATCCCAGGCTCATTTCTTGATGTGATTATAAACAGTTTTAGTTACTAAAGGCAGAGTTTCATTTCTGACTTCTAAATAAGTTATCAGGAAGGAAAAACACTGTCCTATTGAAACGAAGACTGTCCACTTCAAAACATCCACTTCTCACCAGAGAGCTGATGGTTCCAGAAACAACCATGTTCTGGCATTTTCCATGGTGAACTGCAATGGGAACTGCCTCCGTCCAAGGGCTGCCACCCCCTTTCCCATTCACAGAAGACCACCCTGTGGGTCTGCTAAGCAGAGGATGCAAGAGCACAGCTCCAGAAGGCTGGGTGCCACCATCGCACTTCTGATGTCCCCCATTCAACTGTGTAGTTCCTTCTTCTTGCTAAGGGACACTTTTGTAATTTAAGTGTCGTGTTCAAACATCCCATCCAACAGCATAAAGCAGGTACATCTGATAAGGAATACAGAGCACTGTGCCCAACATCATCCCCTGCCAAGAACAGGTCTGGCTGGCCTCGGGATTCCAGGACAGCACCTCGAGCCTGCCGCACCAGCAGGGCTTCAATCCCTCCTATTGTTCAGGAACTCAGATGTCTTGCTGCAAAGGATGAGGCATGGCCTTGGGGGAACCACAAGAAGGTGGCGAGGATAAAAGGCTCCACCATCCTTTGGCAAAGGCTTCACATAAATACTGGTAGGGGCTATGCCCCCCACACAGGGACATTACTGAACCCTGTCTCTAAAGCCAAGCACATCAAAGGGAGGAAGGCAGAGGTCACCCGGCTCACTGAATGATTCTGATGGCACCCTCGAGCCTGAGCGGGCTGCACAGGAACCGTGGAAATGACGCCACACCTGGAAGCTTCTTGCCCACCAGCTGGTCAGAAGCCAGGGCAACTGACTATTTCTCTGTCCCCCAGAGGGTAATAACAAGCTACTTTCAGAGAAGATTTGGAGAGAGAAATGACACTAGTGACATAGACTTTGTGACCCTTATCAAAGCACTATGTATCCAGAGCAACTGTAAGTGGGTGTGGTCACACCAGCTAGACCATGCAGAGAGGAGGGATCTTGTGGAGTCAGGATGCCCTCACCCCACCATGCCCAGGGCCCTCGGCAAAACCACAGAGAGGCAGTGCTTTTACTTTTACACTAACCACACCACAGGAGTGTTGTTGCAGGCAAATGCCTGTCATCCCACGCCCCTGAGGGGCACAGACCTCTGTCTACAGGAGAGGCTGGTATGGGTAGGCTGACGTCCTGGAAGGCACCACCCCAGCTGGGCCCAGGGACCCACCAAAAGCTGGGAGAGAGTAAGGTGGCCCCACTCTCAGCGCCTCCTCCGGGCTCATTTCTCGGCCATCGTGCTGTCTTCTTGCCACCCTGACCCAGGGTCAGGCCTGCTGCAAGCTGCCCTGAAATGCAGTTAACACAAAAGCTTCCTACCAGCGAAGCACGTTAGAAGCCACACAGACTGAGGCTCCGGGGGCCGGAGTGAAGATGACTGGCAGCGGCTTATCACGGCCTGCTTTGGTGGCACATCTAGAATGCCTGGCATTACCCGTGCCATAAGCCCGAAGCCCAATTCACTCTGTTTTGGTTTAGAATAAGGCATTTCTCTTTTATTATTATTATTATCATTTTTTTTTCCCCTTGGAAGTAGAAAAGAAAAGGTGGAAGCTTAAAATTAAGACTAATCAAGACACTGGGAACGTGGAGGCGTCCGGGAGCAGAACTGAGCTGCAAGATGCACGCGCAGAAGGAGAACCCTGCCGGCGCCGGCGCCACCTGCTGTCCTGGAGTTGGAGGAGCCGGAGTCCAGGTCGCCAGGCCTGCTGCAAGTGGCCCTGCGCTTCACTTCCAGCGATGCCTGACCAGAGAGGACTCATCATTGATGACCTCGGGGTCACGGGGCATGTGGCGGCACCGGAAGGGCAGCAGCAGCAAGATGAGGAGGATCAGGAGGATGAGCCCACAGGAGCTCATGAGCGCATAGGACACGATCCACAGGACAGGCTCATGCAGAGAGTGCGAGGGGACACAGTTGCTGGCGATGCCTTCAGTGGAGAAGGGCCCGGACACCTCAGACACGGGGACGCCTGCGAGCTCTGTGGAGACAAAGTGGGGGTCAGAGCTGTGAGATGGGCAGGCCCCTCAGCCCCTGGCGCTGCTCATGGGTCATGACAGCCAAGGGAGGGCTGGGGACAGCATGCTCCAGGGCTTCGTGTGTGGAGACTCCAGGGGTGAGGACACAGGGCTTCTTGTGAGCCTAGGGTCATTCCAGTTCTGGGAAAGAGCAGTGGATCTTTCGGCAGCCTGCCAAATCCAAACTTTTTATTGTGTGGTTTGGGGACTGACTCCAGGGCCGTCACACTGAGTTGCATCCCCAGCCCTTTTTACTTTTTATTCTGAGACAGGATTCTCACCGATGCCGTTCAATTGCCTGGGCTAGGTTTGAAGCTGTAATCCCGCTTCAGCATCCCAGAGTTCTGGGTGGGCACATTCTTTATGGGGGCTCCCAGTGCACTGGATCAGACCAGCTCCAGAGACAAACACCCCACCACCCACTTTCATCCTATGTCACTCTCCCTGGGTCTGCAAGGCCTCAGACTTGGCGAGGTCACTAGTGCAGCTCCTAACCACACCAGGGAAACTGGAGACATCACCTGGCAACTTTGCTAAAGGGATTTGGCAGAAAAGGAAAGGGGCAAATGGTTTCTTAGCGCACATTTAGGGAAGATCCAGAGATTTCGGGTACCCACATTAGGCTTATCTGCCCTTTCTGGAATACAACAGCTCAAACTTTATTTGGAAAGAGAAAGAAGCAAGCTTACTTATTTGGCTTCCTCATATCAACTAAGAAATGCCTGCACCAGGTAAAGGAAATAACATCACTCCACATGAATTTTTCTGTGAACAGAAACATCAGAATCCTAAATCCTGTCAAATATGAACACTTTTGGTCGACCAAAGCCAAAGTCAAAAGAACAATACAGATGTGGCCTTAAAAATCATGGTTTCAAAATGTGGGGGACATGACTGGAGGTGGAGGTGCCCTTCTGCAATGCCAGCAATCTGGGAGGCTGACGCAGGAGGACTGTGAGTTCAAACAGCCTGGGCAGGTTAATGAGACCCTAGGGACATAGCTCAGAGCCCAGATCCTGGGCTTAGTCCCCAGTACTGGAAAAAGAGACAAATAAAGCAGAGGAGACAGACTTAGTTCATTTGTAAAGAAGACACTTTCTGGCTAACAGGGATTCTATGATATATGTTTTTCTCAAGGCCTGGGGAGAGGCGTGGTGAGCAGAAGCCCAGCAGTTAACTGGGCAGCAGAGCCCACAGCAGAGCCCGTCATAGACCCCTAAGTCAAGTCCCCTGCCGCTTCCTTTTGAACGAACTTAAAGTCTCCATGCTGTGGGGCTGGAGTGGGCATACACACTGTGGGGTGTGCAGCATAGAGGGGACATTTGGCCCTTCAGGGAGGAAGGCTGTCAGCCTTGGCCTATGGCAGGAACAGGCAGACAGCTAACCAACATTTTAAATGATGCAAAAGCAGTCATGTTCCTTACTGCAAAAGCAATATACATTTATGATAAGAAAGCTGAAACACAAAGAAATAAAAGCATACTCATAAATTCATCACTCAGAAGTAATCAATATGTGTACCTTCTTTTTTCTACGCATCAGCTTTTAAAAGCAAAAATGGAACTAGTAGAAGCTGTTGTTTTGTCAGCTACTTTCACAGGATAAGAATCGTACTGTTTAAGTCAGGCTGTTCTGATGACTATAAAAAGCCTACTAGGGCTACATTTCCCATTTGCCACTATAGTGGGGTCTTCAGGTGGACAACAGTGTTTGGGCAGGAATTTTTGATCCTATTCTTGATATCTTGATTTCTCTTTCAGTTCCTGACCTCCGCCAACTCATCAGCCACTGAGGAGACTGAGTTAGCACTGCACCCCCAGCTCAGTGTGGCTATGCCTGCATCCTGCCCATCCAGGAGGGCACAGAGTGTGTCGTCCACCTGACTTCGTAATTTACCACTCTTTGCTTGCAAGAAGGGCATAGCAGGAAAAGCATTATCAGCCATTTATGTTTTTATGATGATGTGTATCTTTCTGAGCAATTTTAAGAACACTTTACATGGCTAAAACTTTCAGGTTGCAGAAGTCTTTGCACTGTGATCCTTGACATTCTTCTTTTTTAAATACTCTTTATAAGTGGAGATACTTTTGTTTAAAATTTAGTACAGGATCTATAGGGTCTCACTAAATAGACTGGACTCATAGTGATCCTCCTGTGTATAGCTTTCCAAGTGCTGGGATTACAGTGCCACCATACCCAGTCTCAATCACCATCTCAGTGCGCCCTGGAGGTGGGGCCAGCACGGCAGGTCCGGGGATCGAATGCCTGACCCCTGGGTCTGCCTAAGCAGGCACTTTAATCTGCTGAGCTATTTGGCCAGCTCTAAGTGGAGATACTTTTGCGAGTAAAATGCTGATGAGGAAAAATGGGCTTTGTGGAAAGACACACGATGCCCCAGTGCAGAACAGCATGAAGACCTCAAAAACCACCTCTGCCTCAAGCAAGATGGATTCAGAGTCTGGATTCACCCTCCCAGTTGAAATAAATACAACACTGGACAAAATACACAAAAAGGGAGGGGTACAAATGAGGATTCTGGGACACCCCCCCCAAGATACCACCTTGAATTCCCAGGTGGTAGGTGACACAGGCTAGGGCTGCTGTCTGCTGAAGGGATGAGTAGAGACCCAGGACAGTCATCATTCCGAGAACTTACAGAGCAGAGTCACGCTAAGGAGAAGGCCTGGGGCCTCCGGTCTCTGGCTGTGCGCAGTCGACCTCCTTGCCCACCTGTCCTGCAACCCCAGGTCCAACCCACCTCAGATTGAACACACTCAGGAAGAGTGGAGTCTGTCCTAAACAGGTGCACACTCTCCCCTTCCTCCTTCCACATATAGTACAGTATAAAGCCTGCTTCCAAAGCATTTGTGTTGCTTTAGGTATTATGAACAATTTGGAAATAAGCTGAAGTACAGGGAAGATGTGCACAGGTTCTTTTTTATTCCTTTTTTTTTTTTTTAATTTTGTTGAGAAACAAAATGCAATGGGGCAGTTTCAAAACCGATTAGGACATAACCACTAAGAAGAATATATGCAGTGTATTATTTGTTGAAACTGTACTTCTGATTTGATTGGAAACTGTCTCATTGCTATCTGTTTATCAATAAAACTTTGAAAAAAAATAAAAAAAACCCGATTAGGACAGTTTCCATAATTAATACATTGCATATTGTTGTCTTCATAGTGATTATTCATAGTACAAGATGCAGATGTGATATCCTGTCCAAAGAGTATTAGTACAAATCTTTCTTCTCATAGAATTAAGAGAAGTGCACAGGTTCTACACAAATACTACCATGCCATTTTATACATGGGGCTGAGCATCCTTGGATTCTGGTAGCTGTTGAGGTCCAGGAAACAATGCCCCCAGATACTGCCTGACAACAACTCCAGCCACAACAATGGTACCAGAATGCTGAAAGCCAGTGCAAGGATTTGCTGGGGCAGGGGCCAGAGCTCACGCAGGGCTGAGCACTCCCAGCTGGTTTCTGTTTACTCTGTTCCTCTGAGCCAAGACAAAACCAGCAGACACCACTCAGAGATCTTGCCTTTGTAATGGGAAGAACTATAAGACACTGGTCTGATTCTCTCTGAGAAAGGTTAGAAGCAAAATAAAAAAAGCACAAACTTTTTCTAAGTAGATTAATTGAAACCTAGAACAAATATGTAGAATATTTGAAAATATTCAGCAGTCAGCAGGGGAAAAGTCACAGTGTATCTGATACAAACTGAACAGAGCAGTCTGAGAGGTTTCCATGCAAGCAGGTGCCATTTCTCATGGTCCTCAGCCAGGAAGCCAGCACCAAGGCCCTGGCTAATTTCTTTCTTTTTTATTTTTATTTTTAAATCATTTATTTGGTACCGAGTCTTGCTATGCAGCTTGGATTCATAGTGGTTCTCCTGTCTCAGCCTCCCCAGCACTGGGATTATAGAAATGTGCCAACATGCCAGGTTTCAGTGACCAGCATGGCACTGGGTCAGTGTGGCATGCGGTACTGGGGATCAAATCTGGGTCCTTGTGCTGGCCAGGCAAGTGCTTAGACTTCTGAGCTATGTCCCTGAGCCTACAACAGTTTTTCTGCATCATCCCAGCTGACCATGGACTGAACCTCTGATACCATCAGCCAAAATGAATCTTTCTTCCTTTAACTTGGTTCTTCTCAGGGATTTGTTGCAGCAACAGAAAGCTGGCTAACACAGGCCTATCTCCACATCCCCTGTTGACAGGGATTAGATTTCAACATATGAATTTTGTAGGGTCATAATCCTTCAATCCACATCATTGATTTGCAAGGAAACAGGAAAGCACAATTTATAATTCCCACACAGAAGCAGGGAAACACAATTCATAATAAGAAAAATCAATCCAGTAAAATTTAACAGGAAATTACAGAACTGATAGTGTTAAGAGACAGGATATTAGGGCTATTACCACCCCTGTATTCTACTCAGGTAGCAGGAGGAAATATTAAACATGTTAAAGCCATAGAAGATATTAAAAGACCTCAATCAAACCTCTAGTTGCAACACAGAATATGCAAGACACACTGTGCGCTGGTGGTATTAATAGCACAGTCTACACTGTGGAGAAACACTAATCAACTTACAGATAGCACAGTGGGGACCATGCAAAATGACACAGAGAATACTGAAAACTACATAGAACACTTGTATATGGGGATGATTTTAAGCTGTTACACTATGTCATGTCAGGGCTCAAAAGAGGGGAAGAGGTGGGAGAAAGCACACTTGAAGACATAATAACCAAAGTTTCTCAAATTTGATAGAAACTATAAATGTATAGATCCAAGAGGTTCAAAGAACCCCAAGATTTAGAAATACTGAATAGAATACCCCAGTGAATTGGGGAAGATCAGGAGTAAGTAGAAAACCCTTGAAGCTGAAAGAGAGAAAAAAGTGATACTTGGAAAGGAACAGTAATGAGTATTACAGAGATTTCACA